TCCATCTGATTCTCCATCGTACACAAGATGGAACTTTTCGAAGGCTAACTGGTCTTCATTTCAATATAATTTTAAATCGAAATTGCGACCTGATTTTTTCAGTGATATAACTGATCCCATTCAAACTTTTTCTGACGTTTTACATGAAATAGCTGATGAGTGTATACTAAAGTCCTCTACGACTCCACATGTACGAAAACCATGGTTTAATACTGATTGTAGACAAGCCAGAAAAGCCAGGAAAAAGGCCGAGCGTTATTTCCGCCATCATCCAACTGTCCATAACTTAAATAAATTTAAAATACTCAATGCAAAGGCGCGTCGTACCTTTAAACAAAACAAACGACAATCTTGGAGAAGTTATGTCTCAAAAATTAATTCACGTACGCCAATGTCTAAGGTTTGGAACATGGTTCAGCGAATAAAAGGCAAAGGTTCAAAATCAGCTGTACACCATCTTAAAGATGGCGATAATTTAATAACTGACAAATCTAAAATTGCAGATAAAATTAGAGAAACTCTTGCCAAAAATTCATCATCGGCAAATTATGTCCCTGAGTTTCAGAGATATCAGAAGCGACAGGAAAAGACAAAACTTAATTTTGCATCTCATAACGGTGAAGATTATAATGAAGTGTTTTCATTACATGAGCTACATACTGCTCTTGAGCAAGCTCATGACACTGCAGCGGGTGATGACAATATACATTACCAGCTACTGAAACACTTACCTGAACCATGTCTGATGACACTTTTAGATATATTTGACCAAATATGGACGTCTGGAGAATTTCCTCCTTCATGGCGTAATGCCATTGTAGTCCCAATACCTAAACCTGGCAAGGATCATACAGATCCGTCTAATTACAGACCGATATCTCTAACTAGCTGTGTCTGTAAAACCATGGAACGTATGGTGAATAATAGATTAACTTGGTATCTTGAAACCAATAACCTTATTACAGATATTCAATGTGGTTTCAGGAAACATCGAAGTACCATTGATCATTTGGTACGATTAGAATCCTTTGTTAAAAATGCAATCATAAATAAACAACATGCCGTATCGATATTCTTTGATCTCGAGAAAGCATACGATACCACCTGGAAGCATGGCATTTTAAAGGATTTACATGATTTTGGTTTAAGGGGCCGTTTGCATCTTTCTATATCACGGTTTTTAAAAGACAGACAATTTCAAGTCCGAGTGGGTTCAACCCTGTCTGATCATTACAATCAGGATCAGGGTGTCCCGCAAGGCAGTATTTTGTCTGTCACTTTATTTAGTATCAAGATAAACAGTTTATCCAAGGTTTTAAACGATTCCATCGATGGATCACTTTTTGTGGATGATTTTAATATTTCTTGTCGTGGTAAAAATATGCATACAATTGAACGGCAATTGCAGTTGTGTTTAAATAAAATAAATAAATGGTGTCTTGAAAACGGTTTTAAATTTTCCAAATCCAAAACTAATTGTCTACACTTTTGTAGAAAATATAAGCCGCATAAAGATCCAGAACTATCTTTAAATGGCACTCCCATCAAAGTTGTAAAGGAGGCCAAATTCTTGGGTCTAATTTTCGACTCCCATTTAACTTTTTTGCCTCATATTAAATCACTTAAAAGCCAAATGCCTGAAGGCACTCGATTTGTTGAAAGTTGTTTCCAACTCAAAGTGGGAGGGATCAAGCTACCCTCCTCCACCTGTATCGATCATTGGTCCGCTCGAAACTTGATTATGGCTCCATCGTATATAGGCGGAGCCTGCAAAAGCAACCTAAAACTACTTGATTCTGTCCACCACCAAGGCCTAAGACTTTGTCTTGGGTCCTTTAGAACCTCTCCTATTGATAGTCTATATGTTGAAGCAGATGAGCCCCTCTCTAACACAACGACGTATAAAATTAACTTTACAGTATATTACAAAACTTTATTCCAATGAGTCAAACCCTGCATATAACTGTGTCTTTAATCCACTATATGAAGATCTGTATAACAAGAAGCCTTCTCTTGTTCCGCCTCTTGGTATAAGATTGAAACCTTTCCTTTCTGCTGCTGGCATTGAGCTAGAACATATAGCTCCTTCCCGTTTTCTTTCTTCTCCGCCTTGGCAATTGGTTAGGCCTGAAGTTGACCTAACATTAACTGCATTTAAAAAATCAGAAACAAATGAATTACAGTATAAACAAGAATTTAGTCAATTAAGAAATAAATATAATACATATAAATCCTTATTTACAGATGGGTCCAAAGATGGTGGCGCGGTGGCATGTGCCACTGTCATTGGATCCCGAACAATATCTTCTCGACTACCAAATAACAGCTCTATTTTCACAGCAGAAGCAAACGCCATCTTAACAGCTCTTAAATATATTAATAAACACCGTAAATATAAACAATATATCATCTTTTCAGATTCTCTTTCGTGTCTTCAGGCTATTAAAAATCTTTCTTGCAAACATCCACTTTTATTAGAAATTATTGAATTGTACAATGCACTTGCTACTGGCCAATGCGACATCGTCTTTTGTTGGTTACCCAGCCACGTTGGCATTTCTGGGAATACAATGGCCGATCTTGCTGCTGAGGCAGCACTCAACAAATCTGTGACACCACTTCTAATTCCATACTCTGATTACAAAGCCAGCATTAGAACATACATCCGCGATCTAATGCAAAAGAAGTGGGACACCCAAGTAGGTATTAATAAATTACATGCAATAAAACCCTACATTGGTTACACCTACTTGGGTTGTCCGTCCAGATTTGAAGAGGTCATTATGCGACGCTGTGGCATTGGCCATACCAGATATACTCATGAATATTTATTGAAAGGCGAAGATCCTCCGTTTTGTATCCCTTGTGATGAAAGGATCACAGTCAAGCATGTCTTGCTTGACTGCATTGAATATTCCATCACAAGGGATATCTATTTCAAATCCAAAACTCTGAAGGATCTTTTTGATAATGTCAGTTCTCATCTAATTATTGCATTTTAAAAAAAATTAGATTTGCTGAGTGATTTGTAAATAGGTATATATTTTATTATTGGTAGTTTAGATTAGCAACTGAGATTGTTAGTGGCTGTATCCTCAAAGGGGGTTGAAGTATTGTAAAATTATTGTCCTCCTGAGAGGGTACGTAAGTCCCAAAAACATTTAGTCAATCTAAGTGTACCAGGTTTTTAATCGTAGAATATGTGTGCTTTTAATTTATGGCTAGATTTCTCTTCTGTCACCAATGGCTGAAGGGATGGTGTAAATCCAACTAGGATCCATGCAGGTAGCAAAAGTAATGTAAGTCCCCATGGTCCCTGGTATGGTGATCTACCTTCAGTTATTGGCGATTTATAGTCCATTTTTTATACTGTATTTTTCTCATATAGTTATAACGTTTTAGACTTAATTACTAGTTTTACATCCATATCTGTGATATTCTAGTTGTTTTACTGTCCTTCGTCGGCAGGTGTTTTAATATACAAATATTTCATTTCAATATCACATGTTCTCGTCACGATATGGCTGCAATATTGCCGATGTGACGTTAAATATTAACTCACTCACTCACTCAACTTTGAATTGTTTTGCTACATATTACTTTACATTTGCAAATCAGAAATGAAAGGAACTGTTTAGCTTGTTGGCCCCCTTTAAGCAATAAATATAAACTTTCAAAACTCATTAGCCATGTCATATTGTAAAACTAGATATTTTAATATACATGTACATTAAATGAATATCATCTTTAGATTTTAGTAGTGACGCAATTTCATGAAATTTCTAATAAAAAAGGGAAAATATGAAAACTGAAACGTCGTTAAGCTTGCATAATTTATGTTATGTATATTCAGAATACTATAAACGTAATCAACAACATTTCAAAGTAAAACCAGAAAACAAATTTGCATTTTTTGCCTACATGAATTTTGAGAATGACTCAACTATAAATCGATTTTCATGAGTAACCATTTATTAAGAGATTTGAAGTGTGAGGAGATATGTGTCATACCGTGTCTCACCTTCCGCAATTAGAGGTAACAAAGAAAGTGTCTAAAATGTGACATTTGATATAAATTTTGCATACCCTTCACGTCATTGCTATTTCCAGAACTTCCTCGTACCTGTGTTTTTCTCAGACACCTACTTCATTGTTAGTGTGTCACTGTCTATTATCGTAGAACCATGAAACAGCTGGAACTGGTCTGTTAAAGAGGGAAATTAATAAAAAAAGAGAGACTGTCATCGCATAGCAGGAAGCAGGAGCAGGTGATAAGCACAAGCATCTTTATATGAACATTATGTGAGGGTCGGGTTCTGTCGGTGGTGCGATGCATGTTTAACCTTTAATCGAACGCCACCTGATCCATTCGCGAACACCTGGTAAAATAAGTCATCCATTCGCGAACACCTGATAAAAATAAGTCATCCATTTGCGAACACCTGGCCCCGATTTCTCGAAACAAACTTAAGTCTGTTTTCTGACTTAAGTTTGAGTTTTTACTCAAATTTGAGAAAACTCAGCAAAATGCATTTCTCAAACAAAACTCAGTTTGTTTTTCGACTCAACTTGAGTTAAAAACTCAAAATATTTGAGTCTGCTAGGTAGGTAACTTAAGTCATTAGTTGAGATGAAAATGGCGTACAGGAGAAGGCAACAACGCCGTCGGAGAAACAAGTGTAGAGTGGCGAGAGGGTTAATCGACCGTAGCAACCCTCTTGAAACCATGTCTGAGGAATCGGTGTTTGCCCGCTATCGTTTCCGACCTGAAACGATCCTTTTCATAGTGTCGTTGGTCGCTGGCCAGCTGAGGAGAGAGACCGCTAGGAGCTGCCCCGTGCCTCCTCTCACGCAGGTGCTCGTCTCTCCGGTTTCTGGCGACCGGTGGGTTTTGTTCCCTGATTGCCGATACGTACCGTAGCATTTCCGCATCGTCGGTGTATCGGTCAATCAGGGACTTTTGCGGAGCTTTGGTTCCCCTGGCACAGCGCTACATTAAGATGCCCGTGGACACGGACTCATGCAAGTCCATGTTTTACAAGATTGCAGGTAAACATCTTTATTTTTCTTAGCCAGTAAATATCAAAACCACGGTTAAGAATCCTTACCGGATGTTATGTAAAGGGAGATCAATCCAAATGCTGTTTCAAAATATAAAAGTTGAACTGCGAAGCGGAATAAAAAAATCACCTCTTAAATCTATAAACATTGCAAAGATATTGCCTATGGTATTGTTATCATTTCAGTCTTAAATTTAGATAATTGTTTACACCTTGTAGGGTTTCCAAACGTATTGGGATGTGTTGATGGCACGTTCATAAGGATCATTGCCCCAAATAGAGCTGAAGGTGACTATGTGAACAGAAAGGGATTTCATTCACTCAATGTTCAGGTGAGTTCATGTGTTTAAATTCTTCAAGTTAAAAACATATTCCATACTGAAAATTGTTCATATTCCTAGAACCGAATATTAAAAATAAATTGTAATGAATTTGTATCAAAATTAATTCATGATTATTTTATTGTAATTTTTCACATCATAGGAAATGAAAACTAATTTTGATTATCAAATATAATCATTAGTTTACTTTTACTACATGTTATGGAATTAACATTCAACCCAAATATTACATTTACTCAACAAATTGTTATTTTCTTGTGGCAGATGATCTGTGATGCACAGTTTAGAGTTACCAACTGTGTGGCTAAATGGCCTGGAAGTGTGCATGACAGTAGAATTTTCCGGGACAGTCAAATCAGTGTGGCATTCGAAAATGGTATGTATAAACTTTGCTTATATTGATATTTATGTTACTGTTCTATCAATCATATCAATCCAGGATATGACACTGCATAATGTATCATCACACCTCTAGTATTAACAGCGATGAGAATACATTTAATAATTTCATGTGAATGCCATTGTGAATGTACTCATATAACAGGGGTATCTCGTGAAGATTTAGTAATGACGAATACTTGTGAAGGGTTTAGAGATTTATTGTCTGGGATATGATGATCCCTCACAGTAGATCTTGTGACAAAACCCTTGAAACAAAACATAAACAAATTACTGGTGTACAGCAACAAGTATCTTTAAGTAAAAATACAATTACATTTAACATTTTCTGAACACAACAAGGCTTACTTAATATATATATACATCTAAGCATATATCACAAATTGTAGTCATACAGATGAAAATCTAAGAATAAAATTAACCTCGTCTCAGAGACGCAGGTACTACACAGTGATAAGCCACCAGTGGTCAATGAGTGTATTTAATACCTAATAATAACATAACACAATGAAATACAATATATATTACACACACACACACAGTGTTTCTCATACCAACAATAATATGCACCTAACATATGCACTACAGTCCACATAACCTAACATGTCATAGGATTATGTACATAATAATCCAACAACTCACACAAGACTTAGTGTAACTACCCAATAACACTAAATACTAATTAAATCATATTTAACTATTTGATATAGAATTATAATGATTACCCAGCTATACTAAAACACCATATCCTAACCTCCTTTCCAGTTCATTGTACATACATTCTCCAGCCTATGACTTAATCAAATTGACATCATATACAAATAACAAGCAAAGAATACTTGACATTTGTAATTTGTCATTTCTATTTCAGGTACTTACAAGGGTTTACTTCTGGGAGACTCTGGCTACCCATGCAAGTCCTACCTAATGACACCGTATCTATCTCCAGCAAACAGGGCTCAAGAAAAATTCAACAGAAGTCAAACGAAAACCAGAGTTCTTATTGAGCAAACATTCGAATCCTTAAGCGCAGATTTTCTTGTCTGCACAGTGGTTTGCGCATGTCACCCAAGAGTGCATGTAACGTAATTGTTACAAGTGTAATATTACATAATATCGGCATTGACCGCCAAGATGTAATTAATGTTGATTACGATGATTGTAATGATGATAAATTCACTCTCCAAGTTGCTGATGATCTGAGTGGAACAAATGTTAGAAATTATCTTTGTCAGTCATACTTCACCTGAATATTGTACAAATTATCTTCAAATGATGATTTCTTATATAACATAATGAACAAACAAATTTTCATTGTGTGAAATATTCCATGTACAAATATGCTAGTTGGATTCTATGTAATCACAAATCACTGCTCATTTTGACATTTCAGCTTCATTATTTCCAATTGTAATTTTTCTTTTTTCAGTTCTTCCACCTCAGCCTTAATTCTGAAAAAAATGGCTTCTTGCTTTAACTTTTCACATTCTGCAATGTATTTGTCTCTTTCTGCGTGGAGAACAGACACTTCATCATCGAGTAACTTTCTTTTCTTGCTCAATTTCGTTGTTGTTGTTGTGGAGGGGATGTGCAGCATACCCTGATTGTCAATGAGGACATCAACAGGCAAGGTGTGATCTGGAACAAATATGACAAATTTGGAATTTGTTTTTTGATGATTGACAGGTATACTATCTACAAGTACTGTAGACCAGACATTGCCTATTTATCTAAAAAAGAGTACACATTTTGACATTATATCCTCAATCTTTAAGCATGCAGAGCCTGTTGATCTATTTAGACTTCCAAACTTAAAAGATATCAAAGAATGTAAACAATTTGGATGTCTACTGGTATTTTTGGAAAAAATCTTTTTTTAATGATATTAAATAGAGTGCTTTTTGTGCACATATATTAAGATTTTTATACTCACTGGGAATACATTCCTGACTGACAGGTAGGTGAGCTTCACCTTCGGGCAGACTCCCCTCCATCGCCATGGAGTTGATCACACTACTGAAATCTGTAACAGATACAACTCAACAAGTTGGTGATCTGCCTAATCCTCAGGCAATTTATTTATGGGCTCATATGATTTTAATATAACTACTCAGATTTGACTTCAAAACTTAAAAATTATTTATCAGCCTTCATGTGTACTAATTAAGGGCACAAGAGCACACTTTCCGAAATGCAATTGGCTATATTAGTGCATTTATACCCACTTTAGATTGCTTTTGATGCAATAATAGACTTATTATTCATTTCGACTTCCCTATAATCGATATTTGATAAAATGAGATGACCAAAATCACAAGATATAAATTCAGCACAATGTGACACTCGGTCATGCACAAAATGGAGAAAAATTTAATTAATGAGAATGGCAACTCTTGATATTACTGCAAATTTTTAAGGCAAGGCGTATAGTCAATTGTGCCTATGAAACCTTTTTTTCCAAACAATTAAAACGTTATGACCTTGAATTTTAAAGTGTTCCATTATGTTAAAATAGCATCACTTACCTTCGGAGTCAAAGCCATCTACCAGGCCTTGTAGAGTAGGCCTGTCAGCTAAGTCCCCTAGGACCATAGCCTCTGGTAGAGAGGGTGAGGGGGGCTTCGGTCCACTACCTGTCTTCGGCCGGCGTATTGCGTCTGCTTTGTCCTTTGCTATGAAGAATACAATATATTGATATGTTTCTGAAATAGCATAAGAATCTTACAAAACACTGTCATATTGGCATTTATGACTATATTACATTTACATTTCGAAAAATCTACTAGCTATGAATTGCCAAAGACATAAAACCAAATCATAATAGGAATTTCAAAATTAAATTACCTACTATGAATCACTTTTTGTAATAAGTACATATCATTAACATACATATTCATGACAAGTCAAGTATCATTCACTTCATTCATTATTTGTATATTAAATTTATTAATATTTGTAATTATATTGTGTATGGGCCTTCAGTCTGTACTTGAAATTGTTATACAAGGCAGTGAAGGTATGTCTTCTATTAATTGTTATTTTCCAATCAGTCACTTTCCCTTTTGCAATTATGATTGTTTATTATCCTTTTTTACCTCTCTGCTTTATATTAGCGTATTGCTTCTTCACCTCCTCCACAGTTCTTTTACAAAATTGGATTTCCTGGAACAACAATATTATGATATGAAGAATTTTCACTTATGCTTAAATTATTGTCACTCATTTAATATTTACAAGTGTCCATCTGTTCTATTTCTTTGGTCATTTTCTGAACATAGTTATTTTTATTTGGATTATTGAGACAGTCTAATAGACATTTTCTTGGATATTTTGAATTCCTTATGTGGTAGAGTTGAATAAAAAAGAGGATTTGAAATTTTGTTGTAATGTTGTGATTTTCATTTTTTTATACTATATATTTTTTAAAATCTAGACAATAATCATATTCAGTACACAAATAAATTTAAAAGAATTCATCATAATTAAATGTAACTAGATAACCATTGATCAGAGAATTATAATGACTAAATATTTTATTCAAAATATATTATCTAGATCTAGCATAAGGAGATATAAAAATCTTTTTACTAAGTTCCCAGGCCTGTAAAATAAGTTAATATGACGTCATTTTTACAAATTCTGTAACAGATAAACCAGACTGATCCTTTCAATGTCAAGCACCGTCAAAAACTTGATATTCATGTCACTTCACTGTGCATATTTATGAAAAGAATTTCCTTATTGGCCAGGATATGATTTAAGAGTATGTTTATATCCGTGAATGATGAAAACGTAGGAGTTGTAGGTGATCGAAAATCGGACTCGACAGTGAGTAAGCGATCGGCATCTAACCATGCCAAGTTTCTATATCCATTTGTTTTGTTCGATATAAACAACCTGACTGCAACTTTTATCAGAAAGTATTTTTAGGTTGTGTTGATCGTGAATCACAAATTCAAGGCTACATTCTGAAATCTATCATATTCAACTTACATGTTGAGAGTTTCGGCTATCTCCATCCAGGCTTGCTCCTTCATCTTAGTCCCTTTGATAGAGCCACACCCCTTAAACTTAGATGACAGCCGATCCAATCTTTTACTGACTTCCTCCACTAAAGATGTTTTTTCTTCCTCCGACCAATTTGGTCGCCGCTTGCCCTCAACCTTTGATGTATACATGGCTTCACGACAAGCGAGCAGATAGCAGACGATGTTGTTGTCATTAGAAACGGAAGTTACGGGCACTTCATGCCGCTTACAACATGGACAAAAAATACTCAGCGCGATCTCAAATCAAAACTCAGTTGAGTTTGAGTTGAGATTGTTTTGAGAAACGGAAAATTTGAGAAAACTCAACTGAGTCAAAATCTCAAACTCAGTTTGTAATTTGAGTAAAAACTTAAGTTTGTTTCGAGAAATCGGGGCCTGGTAAATTAAGTGATCCATTCGCGAACACCTGGTAAAATAAGTGATCATTCGCGAACACCTGGTAAAATAAGTGATCCATTCGCGAACACCTGGTAAATTAAGTGATCCATTCGCGAACACCTGGTAAAATAAGTGATCCATTCATATAGTTTTCACTACTTTGTTTTCCTTTGAAAAATGTTTTAGCTGCAAAACGAGATTTGTCCTTTTTTGACGTTTTACCAAAAAACAAAAAAAATGTGTAAATCTATCATTATTTGCTGTTTTTGTTTTATATGTAAGGACACCTGGCATGACAGGAAATATGAATTCAACATGATCTGTTGTCAATGTCTTTATTTTCAGGGGTGGATACAGCTTTCTTGAGAAGGGGGTGGGGTTGGGGGTGCACACTATTGAGAAAGAGGGGTGCACACTTCATTTTCAAGAGAGTTTCAATGGTCATTTAATAAACTTTCAGGACAAAAGGGGGTGCGCACCCCTGCACCCCCCGTCTGGATCCGCCTATGATTTTGGGTGAACAGGTGAACAACAAGAAAGTTGAAATCCAACAAACGTGGCACTTATCAATTCCACTTCTAAACGTCTACCAAGGAATTACTAGTCACAAGCATTGTACTTCATGCTAGCTGTGAAATAAAATGGAAAAAGGCTTCTTATTTGTTTTGCTTATACTTTATGGAAGTCTGTAAAGTTCATATCCAGCAAATCTGGCTATCTGGATCATAGCTGGCATATGTCATGGACATTCAAAGTCAAATGTCAAAAATAAATATAACGAGGCGAGTAACCTTCATAAAAGGGTATAAGTCATGTATATTTGTTGGGGTCGTTCCAACAATCGGAAGGTACCCATTGAAGCAGGAAGGTGTGCACTTTACGGAGTTTAAACTGCATTCCAGTTATATTACGGAGTTTCAGCTTCCGGGAGGAACCGGAAGTGATGCAGGTCTCGGGCGGTTACGACTGTGATGAAAAAGAGTACGGATATCGCACTGACTAACCTAGAAACACAGAGTGAAACGGGATTCGAACCAACAATGAAAGGTTTCTGGCGAATCAAATGAACGCAACGATATGCAGCGCCATTTGGCCACCCAATACTTCAACACTAACTTTAACACACTGTAGGAACTCCTTAGATTGCTCATGGAACGTATCAATCTATCATTAATAAGGATCATTAATATATGTGGGGTTATTAGTGAGGACTGATCACACCTTTCATAAAAACATTTTAATTTATAACCATATTCATAATCCCTGACTTTAGAGTTTTACAGAATATGAACTTAATCTTCGCCTTGTGAGTTGGTGAAAACTCGTAAACACAGAAAGTCGATGCAATCAATCTATACTCAGCTGCACAAAAACCCGTCAGTACGAATTCAAAATTAGACAGGCACCCCATTACAGAAATGGACATAATAAGCAGATCAAAACCATTTTTTGTCTACAATATCTTGACACAATAATGCATAACTCAACATAATTTCAAGACATTACGTGGAAGTTTGCAGTCCATTCAGACACTTGACTTCAGTATCTAGTGTGACCACCACGAGTGGCAATAACTGCAGCACAGAGTCTATGCATGGAGTGCACCAATCGATTGATGAAGGCCATTGGCACCTGGAATCACACTCTGAGAAAGGCCTGGCGCAATAAATCGGCTGTGTTCAACCTTGGTATGACATTATTCAGTTTCATACCAAAGATGTTCAATTGGATTTAAATCAGGACTAAGGGCTGGCCACTGCATAATATTGACACCGTTCTGCTGTTAGAAGTCCCGTGTAGCTCTGGCAGTATGGGCCCGGGCGTTTTCATGCTGGAAAATGTTGTTCCGGTGACGTGCGAAATGTGGTATGACGTGGGGTCTGAGAGCTTGGTCCATGTAGCGCACCGCTGTGATGCCGCCTCCTCTCCCTGGACCAAGGTTCTGGAACACCACAGGACCCACTCTCTGCTTCAGGCATATTCCACCCCATACCATGATGCTT